AGAGAAAAATACCTATTTTTCATGTAAGAGAGACATAGTTTTTGTCATTATTTTCCACATCTCCACGCGTCATAAAATATATATATATAAATACCACAATAGTAGCCATGAGGAAGAGAGAAAGGAAATGCGTACGAGTGGTCGAAATATTCCAATGGGGTAGAGTAGTCGTAGACCGCACGATCGACGTTTTTATAGGCTAATCTGTACGAACGGTCTAGGATTAATCTGCCGGTCCGCGGGCCTAACAAGTACGCATTGCTATATATAAATATTACATGTAACATTGTTACTGTGCTCCGAAACGAATGCGAGCGAAAAAGTGAAGTTATATACATAAAAGATAAGGAGAAACTGTACTCTTACTACCACTGCGCTAACCAATAGACACTATTTAGCCACTGTCTATACTTGTGTCGATAAAACGATAAAAAAAAACTGCGGTAAGGAAGTGCTGTGTTAGTATTCTACTCACATACACATACAAAATATTGCGTGTACATATAGGTACTGTACTGTAAGAAGATACGCATCTAGTGCACTACAAAGAAAAGAGAGTATAACGTTTTAGGATAAAACAGAGATCGTGTGACTATTTGAGGAGTGTGAATCTTATTCCGTAAACGCTAACAGACAAGAGTGAGACATTATTAAATAAAAACAAAAAAAAGAGATGATAGTTTTTGTAACGAGAGGTAGGTTACGCATGAACAGCGGAATTTGATCGAAAGCAGGGGAAATAGATCCGGAAATCGGAAATGGACGAATAGTGTATGTATCGATGTAAAACTGGCAATGGCAAGTTCGAGATAACACGAAACGCAGGTCTACATTCGTCGCCAGGAATAACCAGAAATAAGTTACCCTGGATTGCGAGAGCATTAGATATAATTGTCGGCCGCGTGAAACTGATCAAAGAGCGTCAATTTAGCTGCGATCTACACTGAGCGTGTCTCAACGGAATGCTGATGTAGAAAAAGATCGTGAACGTGTGTTTGAAATTTCACATATCAATCGTTCTGTTGAAAGACGTCGCGAAAGTACACACACGTTGAATGCGAAAATTGTTTTTAAAGCGCGCTCGGTAAAAACGCTCGACTAACGTTTGCATTAGCGTGTTGCCTTCATTCTTTAGAATACATATTCAATCTCGCAATTCACACGCGGCAAGTTTCTGACAAAGCTTTGACAAAATTTCCATATTGCACATTCCGAGCATCTCCTTTGATAATCTTCGAAACAAATTTGTCAAGTGTCGTGTACAATGTTTATCGAATATGACAAAGCGACCGTCAAAATTATCTTCTCTTCGAGATAGACTCACAATTTCCGTTTCCGGTTTCAAGGATCAAAAGCTATAAAAATGATCGAAACATACGACTGTCCAAAGCTAAGTGAAATGCTATTAAACGATCCGCTGTCAAGTGTTTCTCAATAATTTTTGCACGGTGACACGGTACGCGGATAGAGTTTTTTTCGGCAAAGGAATATTCTTATGCATCGTTTTGTTCTCTTTGTTGCCAGATGCCTTTAATCACCAATCGCTTTGACGAATGTCGGATAAAATTGATGCAGTAAAATATCGTTACTTTCAGTAGCTCGTTTTCTAAAAATGAAATTTACGTGAAACGTTGTCATTTAAAAAATCCACACATCCGTTTTTCTACAACTGTTTCAAGATGATGTCTATATAATGTGATTGAAACAACGAATTGTGCATACATCAAAGCTTACGCGTGTGGTAATTCTTGTATAATGTTAAATAGAGAGATGTATGAAATTGTAGAGAACACATATAGATTTTACGATTAGACTCACAGTTACTCGTGAATAATGCTACAAAAATGTGCAGCAGAAAGAGAGAGGGAGAGAGAGAGAGCAAACAAATTTCACAATCGGAAGTAGCAATGATATTTATCTCCACCTATCGAGAATATATTGGCCGCTTAATTGTGATTCGAGATTATTCGTGATTCTAGATCGTGATTATTCGAGAAAATGATTTCAAGAAATAAATCACAATTGTCCATATTTGCGCTTTTTGGAGAGCTAGCTCTCAAGTATCGTGGCACCGTGTAAAAATTGGGGCAGTTTGCTGGGAAGTCTGCGTAGTACGCCTTGTAAAAAATAAAATGAAGGAAACATTACCCTAGTGTCAATTTTCTACGAAAGAGTTTTCTATATACAGGGTTCACACCATGAGCGGGAATTCGATGTCGTGCTCATGATATGAATGTGTACGTACGCTGTGTGGCGCTGATATAATCTGTCGATGTGTTTTCAATTATACGACGTTACGTTTGTAATTAAAATCGTTTTTAATCGCGTGTGAAGAAAAACCACTTGCAGCCGAGAGAATTATCAGTTACAGTAAGAGCTCGTTAAAGATTACCAAATAATGAATGAGAGAAACAAGATATGACGGATATTTGAAT